CCAATTACGGCACGAGTCCGGCCGCTGAACCCGAGTTTCCGTCCTTCGCAACAATGCTTCGCGAAGGGAAGCAAAACTTCGCCCAAACAATGACCGCATCAAAGAAGGCAACCGTTAATAGCAAAGATTTGGCGACCAATGAGTCGGACGACGAGTATCAACGTCTGCCGACTGCACACTATTCACTAAGCGATGCGTTTGCGGCGGCACTACAACTACAACTCAGTACTGGTCCTCAAAACGATGGCAATAAAAAGGGTTCAAAGAAGAAGAAGAATAAACCAAAACTTTTGTTGAGCACTGGAATGAATCGCAAGTATTAGTGATGACCTGTTTTTATGGGATTTAAATAAAATTTTACGTCTGTTTTTCTTTATTCCGAATAATATATATTAATATAATTATTGCATCGTTTAAGTAGTCATACAAATAGCAAAAACAGTAAAAACGGCATCACTTATTTTTTGTTATGTTTACGATAGGTAAAGATAGTTAGAAAAGTGAAGAAGAGAAATAGGAAATCTTAGTGTACTTTACAAACAGAGAAATAAAAGACTGATTTATAAATAATGAATAGTTACTTAATGATAAAACTAAAAAACCAATTGTTTTATAAAAATGTTTAATTTTATCGCTTATTCCGTCGATACTTTTGTTTTTAGATTTTTTTCTTTCTCTCTTTATATGAGTTAGTGTTTTGTTATTAATTATTCCTTAATTTAAAATATTGAATATTTTGTTTGACTTTTAAACAAATCAAACGATTACTTGTCTATCGATCTTTGAAATTGGCGTCAAATGAATGAGAATTAACTACTATTTTGAATTATAGCCGTTGGTTATGACCACACGTTTTGTTAATGAACTCAAGTGATGATAATTCTGTTCGTTTTAAAAACAATAAAAGCAATTAATTATTGAAATGTTTTCAATTATTTTGCAATCAATTTCTCACCGAAAGGACTACAAAGAAGAGTCCCAAATATGCAGTGATGGCCAGAGAGACGAATAAATCGAAAATCGCTGGTTTCACACTAAATACCAGTTAATTACGGGAATAAACAACATTTTTAATATCAAATTCATGAATAAAACTCATCACTTCTTACGTATAAATGTTGAGTACAGCCGAAGTTGGCTCATAGAAGACCAGTTCGTTGTCCTTATTATCGACTTTAATGTGAATCAATTGGACGTCATTCACATATTTACGCATAATTACGAGATTTAACGCCTAGTTTCCGCTGCGAAGGTGAACACAAGGGAAAGCTCATGAGTCTTCGCTGACAACTCGGGAACTGACTGCCGAGTTAACCAAATTGTTACTAAACTACAAACAAACTCTTTTTTTCAAATCGCTGCCAATATTTTTTGGCTCAAAATCTTTGTACAACTGGCGAGCGATCGCTTCTGAGATCAGATTAATGTTCACATACAACGGATCCAGAAGTGAATCGTCGAACACATCAGTCATTGAGTTTCGTCGCAGAGATTTGTGCGATAAGAGCGCCGATAGAGTGAACGCCGACAGACGTCTTATACTAAACCGTTCCTAACAATGCATTCAATACCACAAACAATGAATCAATTGAAATGAGGGGTTAATGAGTTGTCATACATGTTCCCAGGCCAACACCTCTTCGGCTAAATTGATTTTCTTGTGAATCATCGATACGTTGAAGGGATGCGTCAAAGAAGTGGAAGCGATTTGCTTCAAGTCGTGGAACAGTTGAGCGGCTGGTGTTCCCTCTTTGGGCGGTTTCGAGACGTGCATAAATAGGCCACTATTGCGGTCCCTATCGGCCAACGAATCCAGACATATAGTGAACAACGAGTCCGTTAGAAGACTGCCTTCGTTGCCGTCCAACTGTTGGTCGATCCACTTCTTAGTGCCGAAGTAATTGAATTTTCCGGCGCTCGACAGCAGAAACAGCAGATTTACTTTGGGCTGAGTCTTGGAGTTGGAGTAGAGCTTCGAGAATAATCGGNAATATCAAATTCATGAATAAAACTCATCACTTCTTACGTATAAATGTTGAGTACAGCCGAAGTTGGCTCATAGAAGACCAGTTCGTTGTCCTTATTATCGACTTTAATGTGAATCAATTGGACGTCATTCACATATTTACGCATAATTTGCTCTAAATTGCGGATCAAAGGCGACGCTTCCACTTGTGTTCCCTTTCGAGTACTCAGAAGCGACTGTTGAGCCCTTGACTGACGGCTCAATTGGTTTAACAATGATTTGATGTTTGTTTGAGAAACTTTCAAATCGCTGCCAATATTTTTTGGCTCAAAATCTTTGTACAACTGGCGAGCGATCGCTTCTGAGATCAGATTAATGTTCACATACAACGGATCCAGAAGTAAATCGTCGAACACATCAGTCATTGAGTTTCGTCGCAGAGATTTGTGCGATAAGAGCGCCGATAGAGTGAACGCCGACAGACGTCTTATACTAAACCGTTCCTAACAATGCATTCAATACCATAAACAATGAATCAATTGAAATGAGGGGTTAATGTGTTGTCATACATGTTCCCAGGCCAGCACCTCGAGCCGATTTAACTAAAAGAACACTTAGTAGCTATGCAACTTCCCTACGCAGTTTCTTCACCTTCGCTAAACGAAGTTCAGCACCTTGTCAACTCGCCGACCACAAGGGAGAAACCCGCCAAAGCTCTCGTGCATAAATAGGCCACTATTGCGGTCCCTATCGGCCAACGAATCCAGACATATAGTGAACAACGAGTCCGTTATAAGTCGTGGAACAGTTGAGCGGCTGGTGTTCCCTCTTTGGGCGGTTTCGAGACGTGCATAAATAGGCCACTATTGCGGTCCCTATCGGCCAACGAATCCAGACATATAGTGAACAACGAGTCCGTTAGAAGACTGCCTTCGTTGCCGTCCAACTGTTGGTCGATCCACTTCTTAGTGCCGAAGTAATTGAATTTTCCGGCGCTCGACAGCAGAAACAGCAGATTTACTTTGGGCTGAGTCTTGGAGTTGGAGTAGAGCTTCGAGAATAATCGGATCAGTTCTAAGAGTGCCGTCACTCCACTTCCGTTAGAGTCGGCTCCAAATGAGAGTTCCTTTCAATGCATACATCAAATATAGTCCCAATTATTGCATAATTAAAGTTAATATATATATACCGGCGCTAAACCAAAGGCGTCGTAATGAGCGACCACTGCAATGGTCGGCATTTGGTCCTCAACTCCAGCGCCGATAAGTTTTGCCTAAAATGCAAATTATGTACAAATGTTGTAANTTAAAGTTAATATATATATACCGGCGCTAAACCAAAGGCGTCGTAATGAGCGACCACTGCAATGGTCGGCATTTGGTCCTCAACTCCAGCGCCGATAAGTTTTGCCTAAAATGCAAATTATGTACAAATGTTGTAATTATATAGACTCTATAGAGTATCGCTAACTATAACTATATTACTTGAATGTTAGATTACTACCACAGAAACTGCCCTCGCCGACCTTCACGCCTGTGTTGGTTAACCACCGGTAATCACCACTGCCTTAGCATATTGAAGGAGTGTAACCAGAAGACCAACAGGAGAAGAAGCGACTGGAGCGATTTCTTGGATTGCATTTCATAGAGACTTAAGATGTGTTTAGATTCATAGGTGACGTAAATTGCAATTTGTATTTCTTTGGTCACCAAAGACTTCTCAAATGAGAGCAACCTTTGCATCTGCTCTTCATTTAGGGAACGCATAGTCTTCGGTATTATAACGAGTAGACCGGCGGCCAGTGTCTGGTCGATGATAGTCATCAACGACTCCATATTGTCCATCAAATCAGTCATCTTAAAGATGACACACTTCTTGGCGAAACTTTCTTTGATCTGCGAAACAGTGATGGCCTCTAAGTTCATGACCGACTGTCGCGAACCGAAGCGACTGTTGTGCAGATCAAAGTGTTGGACACGATATACGTTCAGCTCATTCATAGCCATCACCGGTGAGACCACAATCAGGATTGGCATCAATACAATCACCGCAAACACCGGCAAGAAGTCAAACACATCCTGAGCTTCCGATAAACAAATCATTATCACATCAACTGTTTATCGGTCGACACAATCGTTTGATACGGTTTTGCAATCAATTATATCACTAAACACTTGATCTGTGGTTCAAATGATGCGATCAATCATTGGATGAATGGATNAACACATCCTGAGCTTCCGATAAACAAATCATTATCACATCAACTGTTTATCGGTCGACACAATCGTTTGATACGGTTTTGCAATCAATTATATCACTAAACACTTGATCTGTGGTTCAAATGATGCGATCAATCATTGGATGAATGGATGAACACATGAGTGAGACATGAGTTGCACTTTCGGACTAAAACTGCCCATAGATTTCACTCCAATCACAACTACTTACGTAAGTCTTACACAATCACACACTATGTGTAGTACAGTATAACACACATACAGTTACATACAATTACAGTATATTATCTACAAATAATTTTTAGAATTTAAGTTTGTTGTTTAGTTAAAACAATATTATTTTCGGGGCTTTTTAATTATTAATTAAAACATAATCAAAACTCGTGTTGTAATTTGAGTGTAAGTTACGTAATGTGCTGAGTCTGAATGGATTGAAAGTGATGTAAAATGAGTGCTTTTTGACTGAATTTGAACTATATTTACATAAATATACTAATTTAGATGTAAATCATTTATTATGTATTGATAGCCCTCTCCTGACCCACAGTTGAGTCGTTGTTGTCGTAAACGTCGTGAATAGTGGATGAAGAGGTCGATGAGCGTACGTATTGTGGTTTGCTTTTACCTAACACTACATCTTCGGTAATGTGAACACTCGACACATCGGTTCCCGGAATCTCAAACATGGGCTCCAAAAGAATCGTTTCCTAAGCAAACAAAACACAATTCATAAACAATGACTAAATGACAATTCAATTGAATTGAGGCAAAAGTCTATGTCTTACGAGTATAGCCCGTAGACCTCTGGCGCCGGTTTTGCGTTCCATCGCCTGCTTAGCGATAGTCTTGAGGGCGTCTGAATGGAAGGTGAGCTCAACCTTATCCATACCGAACAACATTTTAATAGATGTTTATTAAAAATCTTAAATTCAAACAACAAATCAATTTTGTTATAATAAAAGCCCCGAAAAATTAATAATTAATTTTGTATTAGTTTTGAGCACAACATTAAACTCACATTCAATGCATGTGTGCTGAGTCTGAATGGATTGAAAGTGATGTAAAATGAGTGCTTTTTGACTGAATTTGAACTATATTTACATAAATATATTAATCTAGATGTAAATCATTTATTATGTATTGATAGCCCTCTCCTGACCCACAGTTGAGTCGTTGTTGTCGTAAACGTCGTGAATAGTGGATGAAGAGGTCGATGAGCGTACGTATTGTGGTTTGCTTTTGCCTAACACTACATCTTCGGTAATGTGAACACTCGACACATCGGTTCCCGGAATCTCAAACATGGGCTCCAAAAGAATCGTTTCCTAAGCAAACGAAACACAATTCATAAACAATGACTAAATGACAATTCAATTGAATTGAGGCAAAAGCCTATGTCTTACGAGTATAGCCCGTAGACCTCTGGCGCCGGTTTTGCGTTCCATCGCCTGCTTAGCGATAGTCTTGAGGGCGTCTGAATGGAAGGTGAGCTCAACCTTATCCATACCGAACAACATTTTCTATGTCTTACGAGTATAGCCCGTAGACCTCTGGCGCCGGTTTTGCGTTCCATCGCCTGCTTAGCGATAGTCTTGAGGGCGTCTGAATGGAAGGTGAGCTCAACCTTATCCATACCGAACAACATTTGGTACTGAGGTATGAGTGCGTTCTGCGGCTCAGTCAGGATCTGAACCAACATATCCTCTGTCAGGCTATGGAAGGGCACAACCACTGGGAAACGGCCCACAAATTCGGGAATCATCCCGAACTCAATCAGATCTCTGGCCTCAACCACTTTGAGCAAAGCGTCCTTTTCTGCCAAGTCGTCGGCCGCGCTGTTGGAGCTGTAATTGTTGGCCACATCGGCGGCCGAAGCGGCTCTCCGTCCGGGCGATGAGGAAACGGGTGCTCCGAATCCCAGATATTTCTCATTCTTTCTTCGGCTAACAATTCTGTCCAAACCATTGAAAGCACCCGACGCTACGAACAGTATGTTAGTCGTGTCCACCACTACTGTTTCGCCCCTCAGTTTGCGAGAGTTGCGTTCGGGAACGTTAACAATGGCGCCCTCCAACATCTTAAGCATCCCCTGTTGCACACCCTCTCCGCCCACATCCCGGAGCTGATGAATGCCGGGAACGGCGCCTATCTTGTCGACCTCGTCCAGGAACACGATTCCCTGTTGCGCTCTCTCCACGTTGTAATTGGCGTCTTGTAATAGCTTTGCGATCACAGACTCGATGTCTTCGCCGACATACCCGGCCTGAGTCAGTGTCGTGCAGTCGCAGATAGCGAACGGCACTTCCAGACATCGCGCTATTGTCTGCGCCAGTAATGTCTTTCCACTGCCTGTCGGTCCCAACAATAAAATGTTGGATTTCTCTAATCTCAGCTCATGAGTGGTCACATCCAAGACATCGTTTCCACGGTTCGAGTTTAGAGTCGATTGTCCGCTTGTGGTCGCGTCGGGAATGTCTGTTGACTGGAAGTTCTGTTGGTTCTGAAAGTTCCCGACACCCAAAGCATTACTTGTGCCCAAACCTGTTATGTGCAGCAGATCTAACAAAATGTGACACATTTTTCAACATTTCTATCTATTAATTCAACAGTAACTTAAGGCATACCCTTATGGTTGAAGATTCCGGCAGAATGTGTGTCAACTATATTCTCATTAGTGAGTACAGAGCGGCCAGAAGTAGTGCCACCGCCGCTGCTATTGGTGGGCATATTGTGATAAATGCGTTTATAATGATTATAAACGGCAACCGCTAGCACTTTCTTAGCGTAATTCTGTCCGACAACGTTCTTGTCCAAGAACTCAAAGATCTTAGAGTTTGGATCAAATACTTTAAAATAACAAAATCTCTTTCAAATCAAAATGTATTACTTTTTTGGGCGGCGGCGGAGGCTTTCTCTGCACATTGAGTTTCTCGTTAACATTTCGGTTCTCTTTAAACGATTTCTTGGAATCAATTTCAGACAATACGACGAAGAAGTGAAGACATTTCTCGCACTTCACGAAACGGGTCGACGCTATCGGTTATATCCAATCATTGGTTACAAACTTATTAATTACTCTTTAACTAAATAATGCATACAAACAAACGTCTCGACATGAGTGCACGGATTCCCGCATTTAGGACAACACAACTGTCCGTCTTTGCCACCGGTTCCGCTTCCAGTGCCACTCGAACTGTTAAAAGTCTTGTCGCCGCCACCACTAGTCACTCCAGCTGTTCCGCCACCACTTGAACCGCCGCGGAATGAATCGCTACCACCGGGAGGGCCGACAACTATCCTCATATCAACACAACTCAAATGCAGACAACATTTGGTGCCATTCAATGGATTCAACGGCGGCCGCAATAGTGACTTCTTTGGAGACTTCGGGAAAACTATTGATAATTGACGCAAAAGTTAAGCAAATATGACAATCAATGTATGGATTAAATGACAATTCAAAGAGTTTTATGGATTCAAACCATTTGTGTTGAGAACAGGTTTCGAGACTCGAGTGGATATATATTTGAAATCTTGAAATCG